TCTCTGTGTGTATGCAAAAGATGCTAAAAAACCTGGAATACACAAATTCCCCAAACTGATGTAGAAAATGGTGGAAGAAGCCTACAAATAAAAATAATGTATAACTTTTTTTTATTTATTTAAGACTGACTAATTTAGGACTAGCAGTGGGAATGTTAATATCAGCAAATCCAACACTAACGTAAAGTAAGAATACTGATATTAATCGTTGCCTATTTTTTTCCATTACTTTTAGTTCAACAAAACTATGTTCTATAGAGATCGATCAACTGAAGTACCTGTGAATTAATTTAAGATTTCGATAAAACAAAAATTACCTTTTTGATGCATATGAGCTTATTAGCTCCCAAAATATCCAGATGCCATACATGGAAATAATTTAAATCCTAATTTTTGTGTCTCAAAGAAAAATAATGACAAAATGTATTTTTGTTTCAAAGCAAAATGTTATCTCCATATATTCTACTGTGATAAGTATGCCTTATCATAACATTTTCTACTAAAAAAGTCAATTATGAGGCTTTTATTTTAACTTCTCAAAGAGCAGAGAATGTTTGGTAAACTCAATTACTTTCTGCTGAACAATTCATGACGACATCAAAACAGTGTTGAATGTTTTTGTGGTGTTGGGGCAAAACTTACAGCAGGTCCCAATGAAATTTAAGTCAGACATTTAATCAATGCGCCTGATGACATTTGCCATGAGCCACAAGTATTTTGGATGTTCTATTAATGTGCCTCCATGCGTTCTGTTGTTTCTTAAATTAATATTAAAATCACATTATCCTTTCAAGGCAGCCTTGGAGAGGAGAAGAGAGGGCAGCAAAACCTAAAGGGTTCATTGCCCTCCTACACCCCCATTTGTGTCGCCACTGAAAAATGATATACAATAAATGACTGATAAAAATAGATCCAGCGTAGCAGACGGTAGAAAACTACAAACGGGTTATCAATAATCACCCCCTGGCTTAACTTCACTGAACAAATGGATAAGGGAGGAGCCAGACTTGAACTTATATGTCCAGATCGGAGCTGCGGACAGACAGCTTTCCCGTTAACGGGCGCTGGAATCCCTGAATCAACAGGACAGGATGCGACAGATTTTAAACCCATAGAAAAAGTTTCACTTGATCCGAGTCACATATCACGTTCTTCGCTAAAGCAGCCCGCACTGATTTAACGCGACGTGTGAACCCACGCCCCTCCGTGTGGTTTCTGACATCTGGCCTGTTCGTGGGAGAAAAAGAAAGTGTTTCCCAGTCTCGCCTTAGCCGTGTGGCTAACGCTATGTAGCATCAACATCATCACACACACAGACACAAGGCCTGGACCAGCGGAGCTCCGCTCAGTCCGCGACCGCACACAACTCACCGGCTTTCTCCTGGTCGTATCCAACGACGGTGAAATAGTCAGCCAACCTCGCCATGTCTGCCGCTTTTCCAGAGAAATACCAACACAATTCAGCATTTTTCCTCCTTCCAAAGAACAGCCATGTTTGACAGAAGGAGTGTCACTGCGCTTGCGTGCGGGAGTGGGGACACATCCATGGGCGTGGGCCCTTTCAGTTTACAAACACATCACTATCCCAAAACTGACTGTTTTTATTTGTTATTTATTTATTTATTTATTTATTTCAAATAATAATGTATATATAAAAATACAATCCTTTAGGAAACGACGTGACTAACGTCCAATAGAACCAAATGTGCAGCAGCCACACGGGAATTGTTATTCTAATGGTAGAGAGCAGTGGGATTTCATTTCCTGCCTGAAAACAATCTAGAATTTGCTGGTGGCTTTGAGGGATTTTCAAGAGCTAATGGAAGGACCAGTTCCAAGATACCGTGTTTTAATAATAAGAGGGGAAATACAGAAATCAAGTTCTGTATAAATAATCTATTAAAAATTCAGTTTTGACACAAATAAGTATTAAAAGACTATTTGTTAAGACTGTAATTTGAGCAATATAAATAAGTTATCAATCCTTTACAGCATATTGTCTCAAATATTTATTATTTATTAATAAAAACATTTACACAATAGACTTGTTTATGTCTACAGAAAGCAGAAAATGGTCAAATCATAAACAAATGCACTGTCATATTTTTAAGTTGGGGGTGGGGAGGGAGGAATCATATTCATCTATCATAGGCTTTTTATGTTTTGCTGTAAATGAAACCTACAAGAAACTGTACAAATCAAAACTAAGATTCTTCACATTTCAATGAACCATTGACACGATTAATACTTCCACAATGATATGGCAAACCAATCACTGGGTTTCTGCTTAAAGTGTACAGAAGAATTGGCAACAGCTAAAGGATAAGAATTTTTTCACAATGTGTAACATTGCCATATTTATCTATTTGTTGGCAGTACGTGACTATCACCAAGACATCGTTGATTAATGTGTTTTTGATGAAATTGTCAGATGACTCATTTCTTTTCTTTGGGTACTTCAAATATGTACATTTAATTTGCAAATCTGACAGAGAAAGCCGAACAGAAGGACGGAAGATTTCTTGCAAAGGCAAATATTTTTCCATAATAATTAGCCATTTCCTTATTTATCCACACCAGAAAAATACTTCAATCACATGTCACATCTTTTCAAACTATGTTGGAACGCTAAGTGCAATTCCAAACCTTACTTAAACAAAGCAAATCAGTCTGTACAGAAGTAATCTCATGCACAAGCTTTTACTTAGGTCAATATTGCATGATGTTTTAGTCATCTACTTAAGCATATTTGATTTGTAGGTCTGACCGATTTTAAAAAACTAAAGGTATCTTTCAGTATCTCTAATTTTATTAAAATCATTTAAAAAAAATATTGCTAACAGCAATCAATCCACATTAACTATATCATGAAGCAACGTGTTCAAACATCACTGTTCTCCAACACTTTTTTTCTGAACCAAATCATTTCAATTTATTGCAAGTTCTACAAAAACTAATGATTCCTTTGTGGAACATTCAGGAAGGAGAGTAAACTCTAGAGCTAGAACAAAATAATGGAGAGGAATGAAAACAGGACAACCTGTCACAGGGTATATAGCACGTGGGGACTACTTCGTGTGTTTGAGACAAATAGACAAACCAGCAACAATAGCAGGAACCCAGCAAGCAATTTCCCTCACTCGCCGTCTGTGTTTTAGTGGCTTTCTAAATTCCTGCACATTACTTTGTTTGCTAAAAAAGAATATGAGCAGTATAGAATTTGAATTCACAGGAAAACATGGAAAAACACAGAATGTAATTGGGTTTATCTTGAAAAATTAGATGACAGGTTTACAATAATCATGAATCAGCCTCTTTTTCTTGCAAACTAAAAGGTGATACAAAAACTGTCAAACTCAAACTTCACCAATGAAGGGGAAAGATTGCTATATAAGGAGCCAAAAGGCAACAGAAGAATTTTGCTGTAATGATTGCACCATCTCTTGTCATAAACTCTGGTAAGGGGATTACTGATCTGCTGGAACCAGTTAGCATTACAAAGTGCTTACAAAACATTTTCTTTTTTGAAAACACGTGTTTGCCATTTATGTATTTTTCTGGAGTTTAAAAATATGACACCACCACCGGAATGGGGTCGCATGAGAATATAAATAAACTCATAAGGATTTCATTATCATACTAGGAAGTGAGTGAGGGGTCTTGATGCGCAACAGAGGAATGTCAACTGTGAAGCAAACCTTGTTTCATGTACATTTGTTCACAGTTAAAGAAAGTGAAAGCAAAATCAAAAGTTAAAGATGTATCTGCACTGTGCCTTGAGGACATTTCTACACTGGAATTTCTGTACTGTTCAAACCAAATGTTTTTTCCTCTGGTTTTTACAGCATTTCCGAAACTATGTGGGTTTAGAGTTTTCTTCATAGCAAAAATCACTGTAAATTCACATTTATGGGCTCCAATTTGTAGTTTCCTATGTTCTGTGCTTTCAGATATATATCTTTAGTATAAAACACATGTTTTAAGTTTGGTCATGTAATGGAGTAAAAAAAAAAAAAAACAAAAGTCAGAAATACTGATCGGATTTATTTTCAGTCATCACCATCTAGGCTTTATTTCTCCGTTTATGAAAAAGTGTATTTTATTTGTTCTAACTTCATAATACACAGAATATATACACACATATATTATGTGTATTATGTGTTATATATATATATATATATATATATATATTATATATATATATATATATATATATATAATATATATATATATATATATATATATAACGTCACAGGCTGTCATTCAATCTCAGATTTATGATGATAAAATTCCATTAAATTTTTTTTAAACCTTCTAAATGGGTCCAAAGTCAATGTTTGCCTTGTCCAAACAAATATAGAGTTTATTGTATTTACAGCTGGACATGCTTATTATATTTAATCAGTAACTTAATGTTAGTCTCGGATTCATTGTCGTCTGGGTTTCCAGGCTCACATGGAACTTCACAGTGTCGGGGAGTGCCTTGAAAAGCCGGGGATGGGAACATTCCTTAAAGTTATTTTCTTTGTTGCCAGAGAGACTGAGAAAAGGATAAACATAGAGAATGGGCATATCTGACCTTAGAGTTCAAAAATAACAATGTAAAAGTTTTAATATTTTGCCCATTATTAGTTGTAATGCACAGAAAAAAAAAACTGGGACAAATATTTTGCATTCTTATCTGAGTGTTGTGTTTGACTCATTTTTTTTTATTATCATTATATAAGCGTGGATAGAAAATTGGGTTATGACTAAGTAAAATAATGAAAACAGGGTAAAATAGCAGCATGAGATTTCTTCACATATTTTCTTTAAAGTTTTGTTAGACATACGATTTTAATTGTCATTCCTTCACTTATTCCCCACCCCTTGTTGCTGAACATGAACAACAGCAGAGCAGTAAAGTGCTTTGAGTGGGGTGGGGGTTCAGCGAGCCCCTCCCACCTGCAGACCGACCGCTATAAATGCTGCTGGTCTGGTGCATAGAGGCTAATAGCAGAGTGACACAGCTGCCTTACAGAAGCAAAAGCAACCTGGAGAATACCTGTGGAGTATTCTTTCACTGCTGACTTTGGAAGAAGAACTTTCTCTCCTATCTGAATTGAACTACAGGTATGTGCACTTTGCTTAAAAGAACTCATATTGCTGTGGTTTGTTGAGCTGCCAGCTGATGGCTTTATCCTTGCTCCTTTTTGAGGTCAAGGCACAAGTGTAGAGAAGAACAGGTTATCTGCCTGGTTATATAAGCAGTTCAGCTCCTAATGTGTGTGTAGGAATTGCCAGCAGGCTGTCAAGCATCCAACAGTATTAGTACATTACTTATTCTTTTTTTTTTTGACATGACAAGTGAAATTGTTATGATTTGCAAGTTTTTCTGGACTCCTGCTGAGTCTATTTTAGACCGTGTCCTCCAAATTACTGGCCAGGGTCCCAAAACGTGGTTACAAGTTTGCTTAACCCAGCAAATTCTGACCCTGGTTTAACTTTCTTAATAAATGAATGATATATGCAAATAACTTGGCTTTTGGACTCTTGTGTAAGAAAACAAAATAGTGGTTCTTGGTGGAATTCTTAATGTGGTAGTTATGCATGCAGAAAGGGACAGAATGGAAATTTGTGAGCATCTAAATATTATATTCAACCATAACTGTTTAACTTACCAAATGTTTTTCTCTCTCCCTCTCTTGCCACAGGAGCCAAAATGAAAACGATCTTCCACTCCTTCCTCTATTGCTGCCTGCTGGCTTCAGTAGCACACTGTGTGGAACTTGAGGTGAATCCCGAGTTGAAAAAAAGGTGAGTTAACATAAAATCAATTCATGCAGTTATAATAATAATGATTCAACTCTGTTAAGTCTTTGGCAGTCCTAGAATAAGTAATTCCAAGACTAATGGAGTTTCCCCCCCCCCTCTTCTCTTGCAGACTAAGCATATGGCTTGGGAGCAGATTGAGACGGGATCTTGAAACCGTCGCAGTACAGAAAACAGCAGGGTCTGAAAACTTTGTCAGGCCAGAGGACATCAGGGATACCTTGCTGCCACATTCCAGGTAAAAAATTAATCATCCAATCCTAAAAGTTCAACTACTTAATCTGATCAGGTTCTTCTTCAAAAGTTATAAAGTAACAGCATGGATTAATGTCCTGTCTCCCTTCTTTCTCTAGCACTGACATAAAGATTCGAACCAAGAGATCCGCAGGTTGTAACCTGGGTACCTGCTCGGTGCACATCCTGGCACATCGTGTACAACAGTTCAAAGACAACAAGCTGAAGATCAGCGTCCCTATTAGCAAAATGAGCGCTCACGGATATGGCCGGAGGCGCAGATCTGTTCCAGAGAGGCAAATCTCCCTGAGGATGGAGGAGGGCAGGTTGAGACCCGTGTGGAGTCTGAACAATTCACAAGTTCACAAGTTTGAAGCTCTACTCAGAAGGACATGAGGAGGACTTTGAAAGAGGACTTGGGAGCAAAATCAAGGGAGCTGGACTCTCCAGCTTGTGTCCCCTTTTGCTTGGCTTTGAAATTCTCCAAATGCCTCAGACTCTTGCCTAGTATACTCCAGCGCATTTGTTCCAGACAGGGACTGAGTCAGAGTGATTCTGGATGCAGTCGTGGCTCCAGGATACTTGAGCCTTGCGGCTCAGTGGACTAGAGTTTGCAAACAGCTGGCTTAAAGAAACTGGATGGCACAGTGTGGAGCAAACTGCAGGTGCTGTTCTCTGCCTGGCAGAGGAAAAGGATGAGTGGAAATACATGTGGGCACATCCTGAAAGAGGGAAACCTCTATTAACATTTTAGAACTTTACACACGTATTCCTCATGGCCTAGACTTTAAAAAGTGCTATTCCCGAAGGACTACATCATGTTCTATAAGACTGCTAATAATGGCTTGCACTTTTCCTTTTGAACTAAAGCAGAATGAATCATAAAGAAAAGATATCATTATCAATATGCCTACAGAGCTTTAATGCTCTCCGTTTATATCAAGTTTTGGACACTGTACAAGGGAAAATGCCTTAGATTCTTTGAGCTATGTGCCAATCCATACTGGATTTAACTATACTTGAAAATGTTTTTGTCTGTTAAAAAAACAAAGAAAAAAAAACATGTGCAATCTTATTTTTTTAGTGCAGATATTTGTGTATATATATGAATTTCTTTATTTAAATATTATATAAAAGTTACATTAAAGTACTTATGCATATAAAGCTATTTTTGTACAGAAAGAGAGATATATATGGGCATTTTAGCTATTTGTCATTATTCCTTTGCAAACTGTGCTAAATCGATGTGTTTTATATGTATGTTATTTTATATTTGTAAATGTATTTTATTTTATTTGTGTCATTCAATAAAACTGTTGCACACAAAATCTAAAACCTTGTTGTGGCATCCTTTATGCTTTAGGGCATTCTATTGTCTTGAGGAAAACACAGAACACCTGGTATCTCTTAAGGTCTTACAGGTTCTCATTAGCGTGCCCCCACCCTTAAACTCTTCCTCTCACAACATTCCCCCATTTCTGACCCCCGCAGTCTCCTCATATCGGCACTAAAAGAAGGGCAGACAGGGTGCCGGGCACATTCCGGATAAGTTTCACTCAATTTTGTTGGCTCGCCCCACACCACAGAGCAGCCTTAAAGCCATCAAGGGGAGGCTGAAGATTTAGATCCATCTGCATTCAATGGTGCATGGTTTTGGACACAAGAAGCCTCACATGGGGGGTTCCGGTCTAACATTCCTGCGAGAGCATCACAGAGATGGTGAAACTCACTTTTGCCATAGATCACCTCGCCCTATTGTAGAAGCGAAAAAAAGTACAACCTATATCATATATTAAAGTTTAAATTTACTGACCACTAATTACCGTATGACATAACTTGCAGACTCTGCTGCATGCAGGACAAGAGGCATCAGGTAGTCTTTCTTCTTAAATTAAACCTCGATGGCTTTCTATGCAGAAAAAGAACGATGCCAATATTACTGAATAAGATTTTCTCTATAAAACCCAGATAGCTTAAATATCAGGAGACAGATCATTAGTTAAGAGAAATGTCCAGTGAGGACAGTTTCACTCATAAGTCCTGCTCTATGATGTAAATGCAATCCCTGTCGCCCTCTAGAGTTACCAGATCAGAAAGTACCTCCATTGAACTTAACTGAGGGACAGAAAGATGAGAATCAATATTTGAGTCTTCTTTCTGATTTGCACGAAGTTTGCAATTCAACATAAATTGAATAATATCTAAATGCATTGCATCATTGATCATGCAAGTTCATCTTAAATCAGATCTAGTTTTCTCATCTTGAGAATTATATATGATTCTTTTTCTAAAAAAATTTATAAATAAAAGTAAAAAGTGTGCAACATTGGGTTCACTGCATGCATCTTTGTTCCATATAGGGATAAATCTGGTCCATACACTAAAAAATTCAAATTGAAGCCCATCCCTACTATCAATCCCTGAAAACATTACAAAATTAAGTCATACAGAAAAGGCAGTATATAAACATCAAATTCTTTATATAGAATAAAAAAGTGGTATTCAGGTTGTCGAAATGCTATGATTTTTATTGACATTATAGGAAAAATACTCAATACCACTTTCAAGTTTTAACTCATGAAGCACAAGACCAAAAAAAAAAAATAAATATGAATAAAAGGTTTTAAAGGCTCATTGTTTTTTATGACAAAATTATTTAATCTGCCACACAAATCAAATGCGGCATATTTGGAGAATGACTGCTCCAAGTAGAACAAAATAAGATAAAGGAATAAAACAATTGCGCCATCTAGTGGTCAGCTACTTTGTTTGCAATTTATTTATCTCGAATGACAAATACCCTAATGAGCAAAAACACAGCAGAAAGTAAAAAAAAAAAAAAAAAAATTTAAATTACCATCAAAATTAAACCTCTCTAAGAATAGAATGAATGGATGTACTATGTGTACTGTCCAGCTATGTGAAGGTGTCACTTCTTCAGTAAGCCAATCAGCTTGTGACGCCATTGATGCACTGATGGCATCAACAAACTGAGCAGTCTGGGTCAAGAGGTAAAAAAATAATACCTTAATTAAAGCTCTTATTACATGGTAAACTGATGGTTTTTCATTCTACATTGCATATTAAAAGGACTATTTCCAATTGCCTAATTTTCCTAGTTGGATATTGGCTTGATAAGAAAACAAAACATATGTGCCAAAGTAACAAAAAAAAAAAATATACAGAAACAAAAGTGCTTTAAAATATCTCTGGAATACACATCTGCTCTTCCATGCAGGGTGTTTGTTGAATCTAATGAGAAGATGAAGAATAAAAAAGGAAAGGACAGCAGAGGAAAGGAGATTAATTACAAATGTGACAATAAGGTTGTCATAAAAGGTATACAGGCCAAGGACTAAGACCCTGACTAACTCTTAAGGTGCGGTGATAACCTCAGATGAGAGGATTAGCCTGATAATCTCAACAACGTCTGAGGCTAAATCAGGGACAGCTGCTTATGACCTCACTATTATGTGAGTCCACTGAGGAGACATGTGGCGCTGCACTCATACTGCAGAGCAAGTCTGTCTAATTTTCTCTGCTAAGGCTTACGATGGAGAGTCTTGCAAAACTTCTTCTTAAACATTTTATATATTACTGTTGCAAAGTTGGATGTGTTTCCTTAGGCCTTTAAGTGAAGGAAGTAAAAGAATACACTATTTGCAGTGTTTTACAAATTAATGAAAAGATTATAATTTGTATGCAGAATCTCTTCCTAAAAAAATCTAGAGCAATTATCTTGAGATATCACCTAATAAGTATTAATACCCAATTTTATAAGTTGTTCTCTGAAAGCCTTAAAGGCTTACTGCATTAGTTATCATCTTGAAGACCAAGAAGCACAGCAGATGGCTCAGGGATAAAGTTGTGGAGAAGTTGAAACAGAGTAAGGTCACAAAACAATATATCAAGCTTTGAACATCTCACATAAATGTGCACCAAGAACGCAGAAGGCCTTTACTGAAGGAGCGCTCAAGCAGCAGCTTCATAGGGTGGTAGATGAGGTCTAAAAGTGATATTATTATCAGATTCCTTCAGTCTCCAACCATTTGCATTGGGCCAAGGAGACATCCTAGGACAGGGTTGTAAATAAGCAGCTACCCCAACAAAGATGGCTGATACCAAGATGGCTGAAAAAAATTAGCTTGAAAAAATTAAGAGAAAGCAAAAGAACCCCAGTCACCAGTTTGAACAAGAAGGGAACAAAGCGGAAGAAGGTTCTCTGGTCAACATTTCTCTGGACCCTGATGAAACATATCTGCAGCAAGAACAAGCCGGATAATGGTAATGGAAAGATGGATGGAGCAATTGACTCCTGGAAGAAAACGTACTGAGGGTGGCACAAGACTTGAGTCAAAGCTACAATGGAATAGTTTAGACCAAAGCATGTTTATGTGTTTGATGGACTCAAACATTCCACTCAAAACAATAGCAAGACTTGAACTTTGTCCAGTAATTTGTATCTTATTTATGCCAATTAACAAAGAAGGGTATGTTTTGGGTGACTAAATAGAAACTATAAATTATTTTTTTCAGTGTCTTTCAGAAATATTGTCTTTGGTGAAAGCATTTTCCAGCACTTTGTGTCTTTCTTCTTCCTTAGGACCTGGCTACTGAGGAAAATATGAGACAAGGAGACACACCTCTTACAAAGGAGTCAAGTGCCTTTCTGGGATCAAGAGAGCTTCTTCCATTCTCTCCTCACTTTCTCTGTAATGTGGTAAGAAGCTTTTTCTCCAGTAGCTTTGATCTCTATCAGATATGATTTTGACAATAAATGCTGTAAGACAAGATAAAGACATCAAGATGAAAGCAATATGTGTCAGAGATCTGACTGAGTTGGCCAGTAATGGCCTCCTCTAGCCTCTAACAGGATAATGACCAATGGTCTTTATTCTCCAAAGGAAACATGGATATGATGTATGATCAGCTCCATATTTCCACTTTAAAAAAACTTTCAGCAAGACTCATCGACCCTAAGGTCCAAGTTAAAATAGCTTAGTCACACTAGCAAAATTAAGAAATTCTGTACATTAAAGTTAAATAATAATACACTTAATATATGTATCTAATGATAAAAAAAATAAGCAATGCAAAATAATAATAGTTGAAGATGTGAATCTCAAAATAAACTAAAATCTGAAAATACCTAAAATTCAGCTGATGGTGCCATGACTTTGTAAGGTTCCAACTGGTTAATTCATAACTTTAAAGGCATCGTACTTCCTTGTGTGACATTATGAAAAAATAAATAATAACAATCAACCAATGTCAGGAAGGGATTTGTGGACCTCTGAAAGTCAGATTCATCCCTGGGTACAATTCACAGGTACCTGAAGGTGCCAGAGTAATCTGTTTAAACAGCTAAGTAATTTCCATCCACAATAGTGTTTTTTACTTTTATGTTTTGTATAAAATCCCAGAAATTTAATACAATAATAATAAACTATCCATTATTTATTGTTTTTAAAATAACAGTCTCTAGGAGATGCTGTGTAAAAGAATGAGTCAGTTTGGCATTAGGTACACTGTGCCAAGAACATTACAATTTTTGATCTGGACTCAAATGGAAATTAGTTTAATGTCCCTGATATATGGGATAAAACAAGAGAATCATGGACTATTTTGAATGTAACATAAACAAGATATTTGGAGGTGGAATGATGTCACACCACCAGGACAAAAGGACGAATTACATCAAACCAAAAGTTCATACAAAGAACTCAGCACCAGTATTTCACATTTCATATGAAGATCTGAAGAGTAAATATGAATCTATCTCATGATAGTATCTCATGAGTATCTCATGATACTATCTCATGATCATAAGATACTATGATCATAACTATTATGATCATAGTATCATGATTTTACAGCTCGTAAAATAAGTTTTGGTTTAAGTCTCATGATCATGAGATCATCATGAGATAGTATCATGATCATGGATCATGAGATACATGAGATAATATCTCATGATCATGAGATTATTTATTTTATTTCTTTAATAGAGAGTGGCGGAAACGGGTTTCCATAAAAGGCTCATAAAGACGAATGTTTTAAATAAACTTGTGATGGATGTCTTAAATATATACCATTGCTGATGATGTTGGAAACTTTCAAACGTTCACGTGCCGTTTGCTGTCGGTAACCATGGTCGAAAACCGGACGTTGTTCAGCTAAACGTCTGCAAACAGAACTATAAGCAGAACTCCCAGTTTATTGTGACAAAGAAGAAGAAGAAGAAGAAGACGAAGAAGAAGAAGAAGAACAAAAGGCACAAGAAGAAGAATCCAACTTGTCAGGACTGCAAGAGAAAAGGTAAAAGTATAAAAACT